CCTCAGGGGCAAGCAGCATGGACACGAGATGAGGCGCAGCGGCTGCAAGACACTCAAGGTCCTCCTGCCTGTCCTCAAGGACGTCCGTGCCAAGAGCACACTCACCCCCGACGGACGGAGGACAGACAGACTCAGACTCAGCAACAAGACTAGCGGCGTAGTCTAGACGACAGGCAGCAGCAAAGTCAACAAGCTCAGCAACTAAGGCAGACGTAGTAGCAGACTCAAACGACGGGTCAGTGACAACAGTGGCTAGCAGACGCGTAACAGTAGGGTGCTCAGCACGAAACCGGTCAGACTCGGGGTCCGCAACGACAGGCAGAGAAGACGCAGGAGGGGACAGCAGAGGAACACGCTGTGGAGGAGAGGAAAGACGACGGACTACGAGGTGGGTGTCGGGGACAGCCGGCAGACGCGGACGAGGAACACGACGACCGGAACGACCAGAACAGATAGGCGAGACAGGACGCGACGCAGGCTCACGACGCTCAGTAAGACTCCCTAGCTGCTCAGTGTAAGGAGAAGGAGCAGGCAGAGGTGAACCAGGCTGCAATGGAAGACCAGTAGATGAAGGGAGACTAAGAACCTGGTGAAGCACAGAGTCAGGCGGTGGCTGAGACGACGGAGACGGTGGAGCGAAGAACAGGCGCGGCTGTGCAGTGACACCAGCACCAGCAGCTCCAGTACCCCCAGCAGCTCCAGAAACTCCAGCAGCTACAGGACCTCCAGCGCCAGCTCCTCCAGGACCAGCTCCACCAACAGCAGCACCCCCAGAACCGGCACCTCCAGTCCCAGGGTCTCCAGCCGCAGTGCCTCCAGCAGCAGCACCCTCAGACTCAGCACCTCCAGCCCCAGCAGCTCCAGTACCTCCAGTACGAGCACCTCCAGGACCAGCACCACTCCCAGCTCCAGTGGCGACAGCAGAAGTACCTCCAGCGACAGAGCCCCGAGCTCCAGAAGCGCGACCCTGACGGCGACCGTACCAGTCGTGCAGCTGCTGCGAGGTGAGAGGCACACGCGGACGAAGGCGGCTACTCCAAGGAAGTCGCGCAACAGCAGACTCAGAACCCTCAGCGCCAGAACCCGCAGCAGCTCCAGAACCTCCAACGCCAGCACCCTCAGCAGCTCCAGAACCTCCAGCTCCAGCGCCACCAGCAGCTCCAGAACCTCCAGCGCCAGCACCCTCAGCAGCTCCAGAACCTCCAGCTCCAGCGCCCTCAGCAGCTCCAGAACCTCCAGCAGAAACAACTCCAGTGGCAGAGTCACCAGCTCCAGTGCCTCCCGCAGCAGGGCCCCTAGCTCCAGCAGCGCGACCCTGACGGCCAGCGTACCATCCAAGCAGCTGCTGTGGGGAGAGAGGGAGTCGACGACGAGAGTGCAGCGGCGAGGCACCAGCGGAGCGACTACGGAGACGGCCGCTCCCGGGAGACTGCTCACCAGACGCCTCAGTGCCCCCAGGCTCAGCACCCCCAGACTCCTCACACCCAGGCTCAGCACCTACAGTCTCCGCACCCCCAGTCTCCGCACCCCCAGGCTCAGCACCCCCAGGCTCAGCACCCCCAGGCTCAGCACCCCCAGGCTCCGCACCCCCAGGCTCAGCACCCCCAGCAGCAGCACCACCCTCAGCAGGACCTGAGTCACCAGTGACCTCAACCTGAGGAGGAGGGTCTACCTGAGACACACCTGAAGGAGCAGGACCGGGAGCGGGGAGGGGGTCTACCTGGGGAGCACCTGGAGCGAGGAAGAGCGGCGGGGGGGGAAGAGGGGCAGTGCGGTAGGGGAAGAGACGGTAAAAGGGAACCGACTCGTCGAACGTGACGTCCTGAGAGGGGAAGACACGGCGCGAGGTGGGGTGGTAAAACTGCCAACCAGGCGCGTTAGGGACGAAGCCAAGGAAGACACACGGAACAGCGCGGGCGGAGAGCTTGTCCGCAGTGGTATCGCGGACAAAGGCACGAGCACCCCAGACCCGGAAACGCGACGCATCGCCAACCTTCCCCGTCCACAGCAGAGTGGGCGAGGTCTCTGGCAAGGAGACACGGGGCCAGAGGTTGAGCTGATGCGCGGCGTACCGGACCGCAAACGGCCACAGAAAATGGGGGGCAGCCGCATGGATCATGGAGGTACGAGCGACCTCCATGACTAAGCCAATGCGGCGCTCAGCAACCCCATTCTGCTGCGGAGAGGCCGGAAGCGTGAACGACTGGCGGATGCCGTGCTCCGCACAGTAGGCTGCCAAGAGGTATGAGGAGAACTCACCACCTCTGTCAGAGTGCAGACGCAGGACAGGAAAGTCCGACTGGAACCGCTCGCGGAGCTGGAGACGAGTAGCGCGGATCCAGGGAATCAAAACATCAGGGACCTCCCCCTTGCTGCGCAAGGGGAAGACCGTGGTGTAACGCGTGTAGTCGTCGACGACCAGCAGGAAGTACCGCTCGCGGCCTTGTCCACGGACGCGGGCTGGGCCCCACACGTCCAGGTGGAGAGTCTGCAAGGGAGCCTCTGTGGGAGGGAACGAGGAGGAGTGAGGAGCGGCGCGCTGCCGCCCCTCGACACAGGGAAGACGGGGAGGAGCAGGCGAGGGTGGGAGGGGAGGGAGAACCCTGGGAAGACCAGAGACAAGGACACGGCGGTGCATGCTGCGAAGGCGCTGCACCGAGGGGTGACCAAGGCGGTGGTGCCAAAGGAGGGTCTGGTGCGACAAGGCACGACACGAGCAGGGGGCCGACAACTGACCTGACGCAGACGCAGACGCAGCTACCTGAGGGGACTCAGTGGTCAGTGTGTACAGGCCCGACCCCGGCTGCCGAGTGAAGGTAGCCAGGTGACGACCAGTCTGAGCACACGTGCAGTGTGTCACACGCTCGTAGGCAGGGGTGAACTGGTGAACACCCGCGTCCTGGAGCGCGGAACCCGCCACCAAGTTCGTAGAGAACGAGGGGAGGTAAAGACCCGACAGTGTGCCGCACGGGACAGCAGGACAAGGGAGGACAGAGGAGGAGGTCGCACGGACTGCACCCCCAGAGGGGTCTGCCAGGGAGACTGGAACTGGCCGACTGAGCGGCGTGAGGGTGGTGCTGTTGCGAAAGAAAGAGCGAGAGGCACCGGAGTCAAGTGTGAAGGTGTACAAGGCCTCAGTAGGCGCAGTACTAGAGAGGGCAGACTCACCAGTACCTAGAGCAGCAGCCTCACCAGCACCTAGAGCAGGAGACGCACTAGCACCTAGAGCAGTAGCCTCACCAGCACCTAGAGCAGCAGGCTCTATACCTGGGTCAGGTGGTACGCACAGGTAACAGGCACGGTCGGCACTAGTAGGCAACGCATACATGGCAGTGAGAATAGCATCATAGTCAAGAGCAAAGATATCTACCCTCTGTCCAAGCAGCTCCAGCCAGGTGGGGAGCTCAGCCTCGTCGCCAAACTCGGTACGCCAGGCGTCGCTCAGACGAGCGAAGCAGCGGGACTGTGTGTGACCAGGCGTCCCGCAAGGCTGACCAGTCCGATCACCTGTGCGAATGACGTACGGGCAGCGAACTGGACTCAAAGACCCTCTACTCTGAGCGTACCACTCGTGAAGCTGCCGGGACGTAAGTGTCTCTCGCGAACGCCGCTGCAGCTGCGGCTGGCCACTGCCAGACGCTCCCAACGGACCAGCTCCAGGGCTACAGCCACGACGGCTACCGCCACAACCCCAACTACCGTACCACTCACGAAGCTGCTGGGGCGTGAGAGACTCGCGCGGATGGCGCTGGAGCTGCATCGCAGCAGTAGCAGCAGCAACAGCCTAGCAGCAGTAACAGAAGTAGCGGCAGCAGTAGCAGTAGCAGCGCGGGCAGGCAGGCAGGCCGACAGGCAGGCAGGCAGGCAGGCCGGCAGGCAGGCAGGCAGGCGGGCAGGGCAGGCGCGGCAGGCAGGCAGGCAGGCAGTGCGCTAACAAGGCAGGTGCTCACCAGTGGCGGGAAGAGCAGGCGCTCGCCGGGCGAGCAGGGCCGGCGCTCGGCGGGCGGCTGCACGGGGTCCAGGGGCGGCTGCACGGATTCCAGGGGCGGCTGCACCAGGGGCGGCTGCTTCAGGGACCAGGGGCGGCTGCTCTGGGTCCAGGGGCGGCTGCTCAAGGGTCCAGGGGCGGCTGCACCAGGGGCGGCTGCTGCAGGGGCCAGGGGCGGCTGCTCAGGGTCCAGGGGCGGCTGCACCAGGGGCGGCTGCTGTAGGAGTCAGGGGCGGCTGCTCTGGGTCCAGGGGCGGCTGCTCGAGGGTCCAGGGGCGGCTGCACCAGGGGCGGCTGCTGCAGGGGCCAGGGGCGGCTGCTCAGGGTCCAGGGGCGGCTGCACCAGGGGCGGCTGCTGTAGGAGTCAGGGGCGGCTGCTCTGGGTCCAGGGGCGGCTGCTCAAGGGTCCAGGGGCGGCTGCACCAGGGGCGGCTGCTGCAGGGGCCAGGGGCGGCTGCTCAGGGTCCAGGGGCGGCTGCACCAGGGGCGGCTGCTGCAGGAGCCAGGGGCGGCTGCTCTCGGTCTAGGGGCGGCTGCTCAGGGTCCAGGGGCGGCTGCACCAGGGGCGGCTGCTGCAGGAGCCAGGGGCGGCTGCTCTGGGGACGACGTTGGGGCAGGGCGGGGCCGCAATAGCGGGTAGAGCTCGGCACGAGGGCCGTAGGGGTGCGCGAGGTCGGGGCCGAGGTGCGCGCTGCCAAAAAGGGGCGGCGCGGCGGGCAGGGACGGGCGGCTCGCGGGCCCTACAGGTGCACGACGGGCCAGGCGGGGTCGCGCGCTGCCAGCAGGGCAGCGCGACTGGCTCCCGTGGGCGGCGCGAAAGCCCTAAGGCGACGCAACGGGCGGGGCCGGGCCCTAGGGCGGCGTGACGAGAAAAAAGGAAGAAAAAATGGAAATAAACGCGCGTCGCGCGGCCAGCAGGGCGGCGCGACGGGTGGGGCAGCTCGACAGGCAGGGGAAACCCTAAAAAAAAAAGAGGTAACGGTGGGCCCACTAGGAAACTAGGTCCTAAGACCTAAGTGCTCTGATACCATGTTAGAGTAGGGATGATTCAACTATCGAGAAGGTTTGGTACAAGAGTGAAACCTAAGGGGTTGTACCCCACAGTGAGTACCCCACTAAAGCCTACCTAAACTATAATATATAAACATATGTTTGACAGGGCGGGGTGATGGAAAGCGGGAGAATGGGGCGGGGTGATGGAAAGCGGGAGAATGGGGCAGGGTGATGGAAAGCGGGAGAATGGGGCGGGGTGATGGAAAGCGGGAGAATGGGGCGGGGGGATGAAAAGCGGGAGAATGGGGCGGGGTGATGGAAAGCGGGAGAATGGGGCGGGGTGATGGAAAGCGAGAGAATGGGGCGGGGTGATGGAAAGAGGGAGAATGGGGCGGGGTGATGGAAAGCGGGAGAATGGGGCGGGGTGATGGAAAGCGGGAGAATGGGGCGGGGTGATGGAAAGCGGGAGAATGGGGCGGGGTGATGGAAAGCGGGAGAATGGGGCGGGGTGATGGAAAGCGGGAGAATGGGGCGGGGTGATGGAAAGCGGGAGAATGGGGCGGGGTGATGGAAAGCGGGAGAATGTGGCGGGGTGATGGAAGGAGGGAGAATGGGGCGGGGTGATGGAAAGCGGGAGAATGGGGCGGGGTGATGGAAAGCGGGAGAATGGGGCGGGGTGATGGAAAGCGGGAGAATGGGGCGGTGTGATGGAAAGCGGGAGAATGGGGCGGGGTGATGGAAGGAGGGAGAATGGGGTGGGGTGATGGAAAGCGGGAGAATGGGGCGGGGTGACGGAAAGCGGGAGAATGGGGCGGGGTGATGGAAAGCGGGAGAATGGGGCGGGGTGATGGAAAGCGGGAGAATGGGGCGGGGTGATGGAAAGCGGGAGAATGGGGCGGGGTGATGGAAAGCGGGAGAATGGGGCGGTGTGATGAAAAGCGGGAGAATGGGGCGGGGTGATGGAAGGAGGGAGAATGGGGCGGGGTGATGGAAGGAGGGAGAATGGGGCGTGGTGATGGAAGGACGGAGAATGGGACGGGGTGATGGAAAGCGGGAGAATGGGGCGGGGTGATGGAAAGCGGGAGAATGGGGCGGGGTGATGGAAAGCGGGAGAATGGGGCGGGGTGATGGAAAGCGGGAGAATGGGGCGGGGTGATGAAAAGCGGGAGAATGGGGCGGGGTGATGGAAAGCGGGAGAATGGGGCGGGGTGATGGAAAGCGGGAGAATGGGGCGGGGTGATGGAAAGCGGGAGAATGAGGTGGGGTGATGGAAAGCGGGAGAATGGGGCGAGGTGATGAAAAGCGGGAGAATGGGGCGGGGTGATGGAAGGAGGGAGAATGGGGCGGGGTGATGGAAGGAGGGAGAATGGGGCGGGGTGATGTAAAGCGGGAGAATGGGGCGGGGTGATGGAAAGCGGGAGAATGGGGCGGGGTGATGGAAAGCGGGAGAATGGGGAGGGGTGATGGAAAGCGGGAGAATGGGGCGGGGGGATGGAAAGCGGGAGAATGGGGCGGGGTGATGGAAAGCGGGAGAATGGGGCGGGGTGATGAAAAGTGGGAGAATGGGGTGGGGTGATGGAAGGAGGGAGTATGGGGTGGGGTGATGGAAGGAGGGAAAATGGGGCGGGGTGATGTAAAGCGGGAGAATGGGGCGGGGTGATGGAAGGAGGGAGAATGGGGCGGGGTGATGGAAAGCGGGAGAATGGGGCGGGGTGATGGAAAGCGGGAGAATGGGGCGGGGTGATGGAAAGCGGGACAATGGGCCGGGGTGATGAAAAGTGGGAGAATGGGGTGGGGTGATGGAAGGAGGGAGTATGGGGTGGGGTGATGGAAGGAGGGAAAATGGGGCGGGGTGATGGAAAGCGGGAGAATGGGGAGGGGTGATGGAAAGCGGGAGAATGGGGCGGGGTGATGGAAAGCGGGAGAATGGGGCGGGGTGATGGAAGGAGAGAGAATGGGGCGGGGTGATGGAAAGCGGGAGAATGGGGCGGGGTGATGGAAGGAGGAAGAATGGGGCGGGGTGATGGAAAGCGGGAGAATGGGGCGGGGTGATGGAAAGCGGGAGAATGGGGCGGGGTGATGGAATGCGGGAGAATGGGGCGGGGTGATGGAAAACGGGAGAATGGGGCGGGGTGATGGAAAGCGGGAGAATGGGGCGGGGTGATGGAAAGCGGGAGAATGGGGCGGGGTGATGGAAAGCGGGAGAATGGGGCGGGGTGATGGAAGAAGGGAGAATGGGGCGGGGTGATGGAAAGCGGGAGAATGGGGCGGGGTGATGGAAAGCGGGAGAATGGGGCGGGGTGATGGAAAGCGGGAGAATGGGGCGGGGTGATGGAAAGCGGGAGAATGGGGCGGGGTGATGGAAAGCGGGAGAATGGGGCGGGGTGATGAAAAGCGGGAGAATGGGGCGGGGTGATGGAAGGAGGGAGAATGGGGCGGGGTGATGGAAGGAGGGAGAATGGGGCGGGTTGATGGAAAGCGGGAGAATGGGGCGGGGTGATGGAAAGCGGGAGAATGGGGCGGGGTGATGGAAAGCGGTAGAATGGGGCGGGGTGATGGAAGGAGGGAGAATGGGGCGGGGTGATGGAAAGAGGGAGAATGGGGCGGGGTGATGGAAAGCGGGAGAATGGGGCGGGGTGATGGAAAGCGGGAGAATGGGGCGGGGTGATGGAAAGCGGGAGAATGGGGCGGGGTGATGGAAGGAGAGAGAATGGGGCGGGGTGATGGAAAGCGGGAGAATGGGGCGGGGTGATGGAAGGAGGAAGAATGGGGCGGGGTGATGGAAAGCGGGAGAATGGGGCGGGGTGATGGAAAGCGGGAGAATGGGGCGGGGTGATGGAAAGCGGGAGAATGGGGCGTGTCAGAATATTATAGCTCATGCATATTGTGTAGGCTATAGTGGGGTAACCCATAAGGGGTACAACCCAATTAGGGTTAGCACTTGTACCCAATTCATTCATAGTTCATTCATTCCTTGTTTCTTATCATGGTATAGAGCAGGTTCCCTCGTGGGAACTGTTCCTAGGGCCCACCGTTTTTTTTCCTGCCCGGAGCGCACTCAGCCCCTGCCCGAGTCGCGCTCCCCTCTCTCGCGCCGCCCTAGCGGCCCCTTCGCGCCGCCCTCGCGGCCCCTTCGAGCCGCCCTCGCGGCTCTGTCGCCCTACCCTAGCGACCCCGCGGCCCCACCCTCGCGGCGCCGGCCGCCTCCCTTCGCGGCCCCGATCCGCCGCCCTCGCCCCCCCCCCCCCCCCCCTACTCCGCCGCCCTTCGCGTCCCCTACTCCGCCGCCCTCGCGGCCCCGATCCGCCGCCCTCGCGGCCCCTACTCCGCCGCCCTCGCGGCCCCGATCCGCCGCCCTCGCGGCCCCGATCCGCCGCCCTCGCGGCCCCTACTCCGCCGCCCTCCGGCCCCTACTCCGCCGCCCTCGCGGCCCCGATCCGCCGCCCTCGCGGCCCCGATCCGCCGCCCTAGCGGCCCCGACCCCTGCTCCTACGGCCCCGGCGCCTGCTCCTACGGCCCCCACGCCTACTCCTACGAGCAGCCCAGCCGCCGAGCCGCCCGGCAACCGAGCAGCCCAGCCGCTGAGCCGCCGAGCCGCCCAGCAACCGAGCCGCCCAGCCGCCGAGCCGCCCAGCAGCCGAGCCGCCCAGCCGCCGATACGCCCAGCAGCCGAGCCGCCCAGCAGCCGAGCCGCCCAGCCGCCGAGCCGCCCAGCAGCCGAGCCGCCCAGCAGCCGAGCAGCCGAGCCGCCCAGCAGCCGAGCCGCCCAGCCGTCGAGTCGCCGAGCCGCCCTGCAGCCGAGCCGCCCGAGCCGCCCTGTCCGGTAAGAGCAGCGCCTCTCTCACAGCACTGCCCTCACCCTACTGTTTGCACTGCTAGTCTACTGCTGTCATGGCTACCCCTAGTGTCCTCGCTTTTGACGCTGAGGGTCGGGCCATTGACTTTGAAGTCTGGATAGATGACCTGCAGCTTTTCTTACAGTGCGATAGGGCTGACGGCCTCTCCCTCTTTGACCTCACTTCTGGTGCCTCTCCTGCCCCCGCTGCTGATGCTGACGCCACTGTTCGCTCACAGTGGGCCACGCGCGATGCTGCTGCACGTCTTGCTGTGCGTCGCCACCTACCTACCTCTGAGCGTGCGCACTTTAGCCAGTACAAGAGTGCTCAGACCTTGTACGCCGCTGTAGTTGCACGCTACTCCTCCCCTGCCACTGCTGCACTGAGCCGCCTCATGCTACCGTACCTCTTCCCTGACCTTGCTGCCTTTCCCACAGTCGCTGACCTCATTACGCACCTCCGCACTAGTGACACTCGCTACCGCGCTGCGCTTCCTGCTGAGTTCTGCGCCAAGAACCCCCCCCCCATGTACATCACCCTCTACTACATAGTCACCCGTCTCCCTGACTCCCTTCGCGTAGTCAGGGACCACTTCCTCTCGGTTTGCCCCACCACTCTCACCGTTGACCTCCTCGAGAAGGCCCTCCTAGCAGCAGAAAAGAGCATAGTCGCTGTAGGAGCCTCTCGTGGTGACCCTCGCACCCCCATCTTTGAGGGGTGTTCCCCCTCCCCTCTTTTGCCCTCTGTTGCCTCTGTTGCTGCGGCCGACCTCGCTGGTTTGGAGTCGGTTGGGGCAGCGTCTACCCCTAGCGGGAGACGCCGCCCTGGCAAGGGCAAGGGGGGCAGGGGCGCTGGAGGAGCTAGCGGGGGCGGTGGAGGCGGCGGTGGAGGCGGTGGAGGAGGTGGGGGTGGCGGTGGGGGTGGTGGCGGGGGTGGAGGTGTAGGTGGCGGCAGTGGAGGCGCAGGCGGCAGCAGCGGTGGCGGAGGGAGCGGAGGTGGCGGCGGTGGAGGAGGAGGCGGCGGAGGAGGTGGAGCTGGTCGGGGTGGCGCTGCGCAGAGGGTCGGCTCCGGTGGTGGTCAGCGCCAGCAGCAGCAGCAGCAGCAGCAGCAGCAGCAGCAGCAGCAGCAGCGCACTTGTGACGTCCCCTCCCCTCAGCAGCTCCGTGAGTGGTACAGTGCACGCCAGAGGGGTGGGGGTACTGGTCCGTGCACCTACGTCCTGCGCACCGGCGACCGTGCGGGTGACCAGTGCGGGGGTGCGCACTCCACCCGGCGCTGCTTTGGCCGCCTGACGGACGCTTGGCGTCACCAGTTCCCTGAGGCCACTGAGATCCCCCGCTGGGGTGAGCTGTCTAGGGCGGGTGTAGCTGTCTTTGACCTTGACTTTGATGCTATTCTTGCTGCCATGTATACTGTGACTATTAGTGATGAGGGTGACTGTTACCGGTGTTTTCCGCCCGACCCGGGCATTGAGACTGCTGCTCTAGGTACTGGTGAGGCTGCTGCTCTAGGTGCTAGCGAGGCTGCTGCTCTAGGTGCGTCTGCTCCCTCAGGTACTGGTGAGTCTGCTCTCTCAGGTTCTGCGTCGGCTTCGGCCTCCCACACCTTCACCCTTGACTCGGGGGCTTCTCGCTCCTTCTTTCGAGACCGCACCACACTCACGCCGCTTGGCCGGCCAGTTGCGGTCTCTCTGGCAGACCCCTCTGGGGGTCCTGTCCTTGCTCACTTCTCCACTGTCCTCCCGTGTCCGTCGGCCCCCTCTGGCACCCTGTCTGGTCTTTACCTCCCCTCGTTCTCTACGAACTTGGTGAGTGGTGCTGACCTACAGGATGCGGGGGTTCACCAGTTCACTCCTGCGAGTCAGCGGGTGACCCACTGCACGGACGCTCGGACAGGCCGACACCTGGCCACGTTTACACGTCGGCCGGGGTCGAGCCTGTACACACTGACCACTGCGTCTCCCCCAGTCCCTGCGTCTGGTCAGGTAGCTGCGTCGGGTCAGGTGTTTGCTGCAGCGTCCAGGTCTGGTCCTGAGTCTGCCCCCTGCTCGTGTCGCCTCCTGTCTCACGAGACTCTCCTCTGGCACCACCGCCTTGGTCACCCCTCCCTGCTTCGTCTCCGGAGCATGGCCTCCCGTGTCCTTGTCTCTGGTCTTCCCCGGTCCCTCCCTCCACTTCCTCCGGGGCCTGGCCCTACCTGCGTCCCCTGTGTCGAGGGACGACAGCGGGCTACCCCTCACTCCTCCCACTTTCCTCCGACAGAGGCCCCGCTGCAGACGCTTCACATGGACGTGTGGGGCCCGGCCCGCGTCCGTGGACAGGGTCACGAGCGCTACTTCCTGCTGGTGGTTGACGACTACTCGCGTTACACCACAGTCTTCCCCTTGCGCAGCAAGGGTGATGTCACTGAGGTGTTGATCGACTGGATCCGCGCAGCTCGTCTCCAGCTCAGGCGGAGCTTCGGCTCGGACTTTCCTGTTCTGCGTCTGCACTCTGACAGAGGCGGAGAGTTCTCCTCTGGCCTTCTGCGAGCCTACTGTCGTGCACGAGGCATCCGCCAGACCTTCACGCTTCCGGACTCTCCACAGCAAAATGGGATTGCTGAGCGCCGCATTGGCATGGTCATGGACGTCGCCCGTACGTCCATGATGCATGCGGCTGCCCCCCATTTTCTGTGGCCGTTTGCGGTTCGGTACGCGGCGCATCAGATCAACCTTCAGCCCAGGGTCTCCATGCCGGAGACCTCCCCAGCCTTGCTGTGGACGGGGAAGGTTGGCGATGCGTCTGCGTTCCGTGTCTGGGGATCTCGGGCGTTTGTCCGCGACTTGTCTGCGGACAAGCTGTCCCCTCGTGCTGCTCCTTGCGTCTTCCTGGGTTTCCCCCCTGACGCCCCAGGGTGGCAGTTCTACCACCCCACCTCTCGCCGTGTTCTGTCCTCCCAGGACGTCACGTTCGACGAGTCGGTCCCCTACTACCGCCTCTTCCCCTACCGCACTCCGTCCCTCCCCCCGCCACCGCTCTTCCTTGTACCAGGTCCCCCCCCGGTAGACCCCCTCCCCCCTCAGGGTCCTGCCCCTTCAGGTGTGTCCCAGGTAGACGCTGTTGAGCCTGTCGAGGTCGCTGGTGACTCTGGTGCTGCTGAGGGTGCTGAGCCTGGGGGTGCTGACTCTGGGGGTGCTGAGCGTGTGGGTGCTGACTCTGGGGGTGCTGAGCGTGTGGGTACTACGACTGGGGGTGCTGAGCCTGGGGGTGCTGCGTCTGGGGGTGCTGAGCCTGGGGGTGCTACGCCTGGAGGTGCTGAGCCTGGGGGTGCTGCGTCTGGGGGTGCTGAGCCTGAGGGTACTACGCCTGGAGGTGCTGAGCCTGGTGGTGCTGTGCCTGGCGGTTCTCCGGGTGCTCCCTCTCGCCGGGAGCCACTCTCTCCCCAGGAGCTGCGTGAGTGGTTTGCCCGGCGCTGGAGGCGAGCTGCTGGAGCTGGAGGTGCTGCGGGTACTGGAGGTTCTGTTGCTGCTGAGAGAGCTGGTACCACGGGTCCCGGAGGTGCTCGTACTGGGAGTACTGGAGCTGCTGGACCTGCGGGTACTTCTGGAGCTGGAGTTGCTGCGGGTGTTGGCGCGGAGGCTACTGCTGTCGGTCCTGGAGGCGGTCCTGCTGGGGGTACTACTGGTGCTGCTGGGGGTTCTGGAGCTGGAGCTGCTACTGGTGCTGGTGCTGCCGCTGGGGGTGCTGGTGCTGTCCCTCCTGTGTCTGGAGTCGCCGCGCGGCCTCGGCCGTACTTCGTTCCGCTCCTTCAGCAGGTTCTTGGTCTCCCGCCTTCTACTGGTCCTCCTCCTCCCTTAGAGTGTCCACAGCCTGTCCCGTCGCAGTTACAGTTACAGCCGGCCTCCCCACTGCCTGCTCCGTCTCCCTACACTGGTCCTACTGGAGGTCTTGCTGAGCGTCGTGAGCCTGCGTCTCGCCCTGCGTCGCCTGTCCGTGCTGCTCGCACTAGTGGTCGCGGTTCGCGTCAGCGTCCTCCTCCTGTCCCTGGCACGCACCGGATGT